GCACCCTCCCCAGCCTAAGCCACAAGGGCCACCCTACCCGCACCCTCCCCAGCCTAAGCCACAAGGGCCACCCTACCAGCACCCTCCCCAGCCTAAGCCACAAGGGCCACCCTACCAGCACCCTCCCCAGCCAAAGCCACAGGGGCCACCCTACCAGCACCCTCCCCAGCCTAAGCCTCAAGGGCCACCCTACCAGCACCCTTCCAAGCCTCAAGGGACACCATACCAGCACGCTTCCAAGCAAAAGCCCCAAGCGATACCCTACCAGTCACCCTACCAGCACCAGCTGATGCGGTACCAGTCAGGCAGTAATGCTGGTTTTTATCCCACTTCCCTGCCTCAAGGGCCATCCAGCCACTTTGGCTACAGACGTAACTAAAGCTTGGGGGATGCTCGATCTGGGGTAAGTCTGGCTCGTACCCTCGTTTGCTGCTTACTGCTTTGTCCACCACTTGTCAATGTGGCTAATTACATTCTTTGTCATTTCAGGCCTGACACATCAGGAGGTACATCTTCAACTGCTTGGAAACAGTTGGAATTTATCTTCTGAGAAATAAAGTGCAATGCCTACATGAGTTTGGACTATGTATTTTTTTTTTTTTTTTTTTAAATTCCTCTAGTTAAATTTTCAGATTGCAATCAGTGACAACCATGGTAAAGTCAAACTTGTCTTCTCAGTTAAATGGTTGATGCCATCACTGGATGGCACCTACTTCAGGAAAACTGCAGTCTTTAGCAGAATGTTAGTGTTTGAGTTCCGACTAAAGGTGGCTGTAAATGATTCATCTCGACTGCAGCTTTTGGTCTTTGCTGGCATCTTGGCTTTACAGGTAAGGAGCAGTTTGTCTTGAACAAACTTAACTCGGGCGACAAACGCCAAGCTTTCCTGAACACATGAAAGTCTTTTTTTCTTCATCAGATGCTTTAACTCACTGAGGCCCTTTCACTGCAGTTCAATGTATCACTGACTGGTAAAATGTCTTCACTTATGTTTTCTAAATACTAAAATGACCTTGCATGCGGATAACTACACATGTAGTGGAGAAATGCTCTATATGAAAGCATGATCTAATTAACGGGAATAGAAGTTGCATGAATTTTGGCAAAGACAGTTTGTTAGACTGATTGTAACTTACAAATCCAGCAGACCTTAAGTGTTGGCAATGTTAATTTAAACACATTTGTCTTCTAGTTCAGGTTTTGGTCTCTATTTGTTTTTTGTTTTTTTTGGCTCTTTAGCTGCAAAATACTACTCATAATTGCTGTCAATTTTTTTTACTTGTCCCCAATGGAAGTATCTACCAGCAATAAAGGAATGCTTTTGACTACAATCTCTGCAAATCAAGTTCACTGGTGGGGATGGAATGCCATTCTTCCAAGGAATCCCTGTATTTTGTGCCATCTGGAGGGTGAAGGCTTCAACATGTGACTCCTCAAAGCCTGTCCAGATGCATTTCATGTTTCTCAACTTCTTTACTCAGATTGCACATTGGTTTTGTCTGCTTCTCGTGAGCCAGTGTGAATTGCTTGTTTTCTACCACTAGATGGCACCATAGACTGTCCTAGAGTTGAGCTGCTTCAAGATGACCACAGTGATGAATGCAAAAGCAAAAATGGTGCTATTTGCTTCATTTAGATGGCTATACAGCAATCTGTAAAGTGATTAACATGAAAATAAGCAATTATAACCCTGGGTTTATTGTATGAATAGATATGTATTTGCACATCTGGGTGAAATATGGTTGGTAGCATAATGAATGCAATGTTTGTTGCAGAGGTGGTGTTGGGCAGCAGGAAACTAATCTGCACTTGTTTAATAAATTGACAGTGAAGCCTCAGAGTGATTCCATAGAAGAACTAATATACATTTTAAGTTACAAGGTTAAGTTATATTAACAGTGTTTCTGCTACTACTGCACCAACACATCATATGACAAGGCTGGGTCAATCATACAAGTTGAACAATTTACAATCACTATGAAGTTCATTCAAGCTATTAGTCAAGTAAAGAGGTGAAAATATCTACAAAGTGATTCTCAGGTTCCTGAAACACATCTGTGGTCCGTCAGGCTGTGATCTAACTGTACAAGACTTTGAAGCCACGCAAGCGCCAACTTTTTCAAAATTTTACATAAATGTTAAGAAGAAGGGCTGCAGGGTGGCACAGTTGGTAGCACTGTTGCCTCACAGCAAGAAGGTCGCCGGTTCGCGTCCCGGTGGGGGCACCGGAATCTTTCTGCGTGGAGTTTGCATGTTCTCCCCATGCAGCGTGGGTTCTCTCCGGGTTCTCCGGCTTCCTCCCACACAGTCCAAAAACATGTTGAGGTTAATTGGTGATTCTAAATTGTCCGTCGGTGTGAATGTGAGTGTGCTTGGTTGTCTGTCTCTGAGTGTGGCCCTGTGATGGGCTGGTGACCTGTCCAGGGTGTCTCCTGCCTTCGCCCTAGGTCGCCCCCCCGCGACCCTAGTGAGGATTGAGCGGTGTATAGATAATGGATGGATGTTAAGAAGAAAACGCTATGTCAGCAGTAAAAGATGTTAAACACAAGACAGAAAAGAAGCAAAAACTTCACAATAGTCACTAAAATAACTAGAAACTGAAAAAAGTAATAATAAATAAAAAAGTCGCTAAATGATAATTTAGTGAAATAAGACGTTGCTTTTGAATTGTGGTTGACAAGAATAATATAAAAAAAAACAACAAAACTGTCCCAAATTCATGATTTTCTTTTATTTTTTTTCTTTAAAAAAAAAATTTAAAAAAATGTAATATTACTTTTGTCAATTTCAACCTATTTAAGTGACAGCTGTTTTTTCCATCTTTAATGGGAGGGTATGAATACATTTAAGGATGACTGTACATACATGATCTTTGTAACTCAATATTTTAGTCAATGAACATTATTTTAATTTCACACAAATGAAAATACGTACACTACATTCATGGAAAAAAGCAAAATGCGCCTCATATTTTTCACTCATAGTACAGGATTATTGATAAATTTAAAAAGTTGAAATTCGTCTAAATGGTGCAATGGACTATTGGGAGTGGAAAAAAAAAACTAATGTGGTCATTGTTGTGCTTCAATGACTTTTATAGTGGCTACAGTAAACATTGAATCACGTCCTGTGTTCAGCTAAACAACAATCAGGTCCCTGATCGCTCCACAAAACTGATCCCTATAAAAACCACAACATCACGATAAACACAAAAAGCCCAGACTGCTGGAGGGTTACAACCTGGCTGCAAAAGCTGCAGGTTTGAATGTGAGTCATTCCACTACAGCTCGACTACAGAGGAGACACCATGACGCCGCCGGCCGCCAAAGATCACCTGTGATCAGTGAAGTGCGACGCCACCATCAACTCAGCAGCAGCTCAGAAAGGCTCTGCAGGCCGAGCAGGCAGCTCTGCATCAACAATGTTATTCACAATCTGTGCAGATCCATGAGATGTAGGTTAAGTGTGTTTGATTTTACCAGCAAACATCTGCTCCTGTCGAGATGTGCTTCATGAAAACACTGAAAAAAGGATTGAATTGCTTCAGTTGGTGGCACGTTTGTCCAAATTAAGATAACAAGTGAAATTAGCATCACTGCTTTAAGTTGAATGTACTTGAATCATTTGATGTCTTTCAAATGAGCTTTGCTGCAACTTCGTTTCAAGTTTCTAGTTTTTACTTTATCCAAAGGTAGACTTATAGAAAACTGAGTTGCAGCAGAAAAATCTGTAGAAATGTGAACAGCACAAATGTGAAAAGACATTCAGAATACTAGTTTAAAAGGAAAACATGTAATTTGAAGTTGACAGAATCCACATCACTAAACAGCCGTCATCAATGCAGAAAAATAATAATTGAGATCTGTTTGAAACAGTGTTTTACTTCATCTATAGCTCAGATACACGTTTAACAGTGCAGACAAGTCTAATTTACATCCTTACTTTGTCTAATTGTTATGTTTATGCATTTATTTATTGACTTTGTAAGATTTTTTTTAATATGTTTATATTGTTGACAAAAAATGGCATGAATGAAATGAAAAATACTTTATTTGTCCCAGAAGGGAAATTCAATAAATGTGGGATCAATCGTAAAAAAACAAAACAAAAATTGGACCAGAAACTAGTGATGTGTTAACTTTAAGAACACTTTTATGTAACTGTATTTTTATGGCAAAAATATAAATTATAATAAGTCTTTAACTAATTAACTTACTTGTATTGTTTTAGGTGATTCAGAGTTTCAATTTGATCTTATTTTATGTCCAGCTGCTCTTGTTTTAGTCGCCTCCTTTGCTTCAATATCCAAACACTCCAATTAATGGTTTTAATATTTCAGTAAATTTGTCTTCTAGTATTTCATCAAATCAAATCAAGTCTATTAAAAAACAAGTGCAAACAGTAAAATCCATTTGTAAAAGAGATTAAAATTGAATAAAATATTAAAACACGGCAAAAGAGGAAAACAAGCATTAAGGTTAAAGTTTGAGAATTTAAAAAAAGCATTAAATGCGACTAAAAACCAACAAAAAATATCAACATCTTGTTTCTTCTCCATGTGCCGACATCTTTTATTGTCCTACTGGGCTACATAGTAGTAATAGCCACTGGGCGGCTGTGGCTCAGGTGGTGGAGTGGTTCTCGTCCAATCTCAAGGTTTGTGGTTCAATCTCTGGCCCACAGTTAAAGAACCTGACCCCAAAGTTGCTCCCAAGCAAGTGCCTTACATGGCAGCTTTGTCACCATTGAATGAGAAACACACTGTAAAGCGCTTTGAGTATGACTAAGGTAGAAAAGTGCAATACAAATGCAGATCATTTATCATTGTAAATTCGGCCTCAGTGTATTTAGAGCTGAAATAAAGCTTTAGTGAATACATGGTGTCGTGGCTCCGCCCCTTCCTGCTGTCTGAGCTGCTTCCTGCTGCTGGAGGACCATCAGGCTGGAGTGGCTCCACCTGTGCAGGCCTCACACAGGTAACTTAGTCCAGCTCCAACCACGGTCTGTCTTCTGGGAGCCACATCACTTTGGTTTGGTTTGATTGTAATTAATATTTCTGAAGTCAACTCGTGATATTTTCTGAACCACATGTAGTTGAATGTCACAACAATAATAATACAAACATAGAATACATTTTATTTTGAAGCATTTCCTCACAAAAATAGTTATTTTCATTCAACTTTTATATCTGATTGAGAAGAGGAGATGAATCATGTAGTTTTGTGTCATTTATTTGGGAATCATCAGCAGCAGCACATGAACGTAAAATAACTATGACCAAAATGTGTAGTTTTGTTGAAAGAGTGGGATTTTTTCCCCAAAAATTTTCATGCCTTTTTTTATATATTTATTGATAATTAGATGCACTTATGCCAGCAAGACTTTATGCTAGATGGTAAATCTTATTCTCATGGAGTGACCCTTCTTGTGTCTTGCGGGGTAACTACATTTGGACCCACTTGCCAATCAGGTCAGTCAGAGGAAATGTGGGATTTATTGATTTCCTTGCAGAATGTGTATCTGGTTTGGTTTTCCAGTGGTTTAGGTGTTTGATTTGTTCTGTAATGGGCCTTATTTGGGGCTTTGTGGTGTCATATTGGGCACCTGTTGGGCCATTAGGTCTTCAGGGGACTCATGGTGGTCTGTATTTAATCTCCTCTCAAGATTAATGTGACTGCAGGTTCTGAAAAACAATGTAGAACAACAACAACAACAACAAAATCCTCTAAGGTGATGCCAATGTATGAATGTGACACCAAGCAAGAGCCTGTTCAGTTCAAATGCATTTGATTGTCCCAAGTCCAGTATGTGTATATATTCTCGCTAATAATCAGGTTAAAAAAGAGAAGAATGTGATGAAAAGGAAACAGTCTGAGCTGCAAATGAAGGCAGCAGTGATGTTTGGAGCTGCTGCACCATCAGCAGGTTACTGGACACCAGAGATGAGTGAAGAAAAGTCAAAGAGCAGCATGTGTGGAAAAGCTTCCACCTCTGAAAGGAAGTCAAGTTTGCAGCGGTGTTGATGCTATCATACTATCACCAGACTGTGCAATATGTTACATGTATCTGTATATTGTACACTGAATTTGAATGCTGATTTGATTTGAATTCTGATTTGGATTTGATTGAATTTTGAATGCTGCTGTTTTGTTGTTGATTTTATGTTGGTGTTGCGTTGTTTTTTGGTGTAGCAATTTCCCTGAGGTCTTGTACCGAAGGGATTAATAAAGTTTTATTCTAATTCTTCTTCTCCACTCCATCGCTGGATTGTCTGCATAATAAGACCTTTAATAAAAGATCACAGATTAGAACCGTACAAGGTAATAGAAATGACAAGAGTAGTGGAATCAGCTGCTTCTGACTGATTTATGCTCCTGTGACAAAGTATGACAAGTTGATTACTTCAAAATTCAATCTGACAACATGAAGAAGAGCAGGAGTTATATTGGCTCAGTGGGACGATGCAGTTACAGTTTTAGGCGAAACAAACCCTTTCATGTAAATCCCAGCTTCCCTGCATCCACATCACTCCTTCAAACCACATGTAGAGGTGTTTCACCGTCTGTCCAAATGGTTTTTGGGTGCAGCAGAAACGGATTATTGGTCAGAGCAGTAATGGGCAAACCATGACTAGACTGGAGTCGGGGATGTTTTTCAGCTCCGTTGTTTTACCCACATGAGCACTGAGCGTTTCCATGACTCAGTCTCTGTTGGGAAAAGCCTTCAAACCCAACAGATCTGTGACAAAACGGAAACCCCTGGCCCAAACCTGAAGCCGAGGCACGAAACAAAAGTTCAAGCAAAAACAAAGAGCGAGTGCCACTCCTCTAATCCAATCCCCTGAAACCTGCATCTGGGAAGAAAAGATCCGTTTATGTGCACAAGGTTTAAACAAACACCTTCAACTCGTAGGTCAGACCAACAAACAGAGCCAGATCAGTTTGACATTAAAGGTAAGAAGCAAAATGTGGAATCACACATGAGGAAAATGTTGTAGATTTATTGCTTGAAGTTAAAATCAAAGAGGCAGGAATGAGGAAACGCACTGTAAACCTTTAACCAAACAGGCTGATGAGGAGAGAGATTAGTGGTCAGGCAGCTGAAACAGGGCGAAGCTCAAGTTACTGTTTGTTGATGGAATAATCCTTTTCTGCGCTGTTCACTGACCAACTTAACGAGCAAATACAACCCATCCACAGGTGAGAACAAACACAAACCAAAGGGCCAGTTTGGAAAAAGCACAACAGGGGTGAAGAACGTATTCTTAAAAAAGCGAAATGCACAGACAAGGCTGCAGTCAGTAAATAAAATCATGATAAAATAACTAACTGTTGTTCCAATAAGCGTCACCTCAAATGCTGCAAATTGCATTTTCTTAGCAAGTAACATCACAACAAACTGTAAATATTGTTTTACGGTGTAGTTTATGACCAGTCCAGTTGTTTTTTCAAAGTGAAATGGCTTTTAAAAAACAATATAGCAGTTTTCAACTTGCCAAAGAGTGACTGCAGCTCCTACATTATGGCTGAAATATTATGAATGCATCAACATAATTTAGTTATATTTTAAACTATGATTTGGATAGAATAATTGCATTTATGTAAACCATAAGTTTACATACACTATATAAAAGACACATATTCTTTTTTTCTCTCACTGTCAGACATTAAATCAGACAAAACTTTTCCTGTTTTAGGTCAATTAGGATTACAAAAATTATTTCTATTTGCTAAATACCAGAATAATAAGAGAGATTTTTAAAAAAAAAATTTTTTTCTAGGTTTTTTAAAAAATTATTGTCTTCAAAGTCAGAAGTTTAGTCTGATTTAATGTCAGTGAGGAAAAAAGACTCTTTTTATTTTTGTACAGTGCATCTAAATTTCTGGTTTCAACTGTACATAAACATATACAAACATAGGAAATAATACAACAGCATTGCCTACAAACGCATTTTTTTGTTCACAGTAATTTAGTGCCATGAACATAAACTTTTCTGTATTTGCGCATTATGATCCAGATAAAAGCTGCTGTAGACGTTTATAACCTGCAGCTTTAACAAGAAACGCGGACACTAATCAGTTTTTTTGGCAGGAGAACCCTTTTTGGCACGACAGGTGTTTGCTGTCAAGCGTTCTGTCCAAGTCGAGTCTGCTCTGTAAGCCGAACCTCCAATTTCCCAGCTTGATTGAACGTCCGTGAACGCGGCATAAGAGCCGCCCCGCTCCACCGGATTTCAGCCGGTAGTCAGTCGGTGTGTGTCGGTGACAGTCATCCCTGTAAGCCCTCAGGACACCGGACCGTCCACCTGCTTCACGTCTCTGCGCTTCTTTTGGTGTTTTTTATTTCTTTTTTTCATTCTAAGGAGCGATGGAGCGTCTTTACGCAGCAGCTGAATGAGCGCCGCCGTGCAACAGGCTCCTGCTGCAAACTCCTGAAGGCTGCTCGGCTTCTGGGGAAACTGTTGCACGAAACCCCGCTGCGATGTCGCTGCTGTGCGTCAGAGGTAAGTGTGGCCGCAGGTCCTCCTTATTCTTAACAAAAAAAAAGTATAAAAACTGGACAGTTGTAGTTAAAGTAGGAGGTTTTCTTCCAGCATGTCATCAGTCTTTGGAACAAATAAGTCAGTTCTGTGCAGGATTTTCCATTCATTCATAAAAATGCCACACTTTAAGGAGGAAAGAGTCAAACTAAATGAGAATTTTATGAGAAATGACTGTGAATGGCAACTTGACTGCTTCCTTCTTCCGTCATCTAAATTTCCTGATGTGAAGATTCACTGAAGGAACAAACTTCAGAGCTTTTTTCTGTAGATGAATGTGATTCAAACACCTTCATTTAAATATCATTTAAATAACATATTTATTTAACCAGTCTAGATACCTTTGAAACTGTTACCTTCAGCAGGTTCCCACTGAAACATGATTTTATTCACTGCTCTGACTTTACAGTAAGTGGTGGATGTGAAACACAACCACACTGGAACAACAAAATAATAACAAAAAAAATTCTATTGAACTGTGAAAATTTTGCAGAAAAATATTCGAACAGTATAAGTAACGTTCAAAAATTAAGAAAAAAATGAAAAGACAAGAAAAACAATGGCACATGTCTGTAAAATGTAAAATAAAATGGTAATAAAATAATAATTTTTGTAGATTTGAATGCAGTAAAACTGTAATTTTAAGTGCTTTTACACTGTAGTGTAGATTTTTCTAGAATTTCCCGAAACTTTTCTAAAAGTTGGAGCTAAATGGTTAAATCTGAGGGGAACAGAAAGTCAACACACAACCTGAAACCAGAGCTGGACTCGTAGATCAGTTGTGTTCATATATCGGTGGATCGCATCAAAACATTTCTACTGTGTCACCAAATAAATAAAAAGTCCAGTTTAATTCCGGCTTCACCTTTAACACAAAAGAAACTTCTACAACCAACACAAATAGATCGACTGTGGGCTGATTCAGTTACAGACGAGGTTTTGTGACATGAATGCTTGAACATTTTGCAGATTTTGCTCGTTTAATCAGTCGTCAGTAGTTGATAATAATTGATACGTGGGTTTGTCTTTTGGTCGTTTTTACCGATAAGAAGCATCAAACCATCAATCCTGACTCAAAGGATTCAAATAAAGAATAAAATCACACCTGAACAAAAACTTAATCTGACTGAACAGCAACACAAGTTCTGGATCCACTGATGTTTTGAGTCGGAGGCATTGAACACGATCAATACTGATCACTTGTATTAGTGTTGGCTATTGGTTTGAATTTCTTCAATGCAATTTATTTATCAGGAAACACACTTTTAATGCTTGAATCAAAATCAACAGAATCACAGAAGACTGTCAGCTGTAAGAGTTTCAATCAGTTAAAACTGGATTTATAGCTTTTATAACAGTCGTTAAATTGGCAAATTGTGGCTATTTTATGGGAAATTTAAATTAAATGCTGATTATTAGGGAAGTAAATGAGGATTGTTTTCATTGTTGATCAATCTGTTGATCATATTCTCAGTTAATCAATCAGTTCAGTTTATAAAATGTTTTTAAATGTTTCCAGAAGCCTAAAATGATGTCATTAAATGTCTTGTTTTGTCCAGCAACCTAAAAAAAAAAAAATCTTACTGTCACAGAAGAGGAAAGAAACCAAAAAATATTCATATTTAAGGAGCCAGAATGAGAAAATTTTGACTTTATTATCTCAAAAACAAAAAAAAAAAGATTCAGACTGATTGAAGTAATGAAAATGGTTGGCAATTAGTTTAATGATCCATCTAATTGATTAATTGTTGCAACAAAGGAAAGTTTCAGTGTCTCCTGAAGCCTTTCCAGTTTTTACTTTGCCAACATTTTGAGGGGTTTTGGGTAAAAAAAAAAGACTGGATTATTGTTCCATATGTCTTTTAGTGTTAGTTAAAAATCATATCTTCTGTTAAATTCCTTCTTATTTGTTGAAATCTAAATATTAATATATAAGAATGGATGTAAGTGGAACCTGTTTTTGCAGCTACAGCCAGAGAGAGGTGAAACTAAATGATGTATAGTTTATATTCTAGCATTAGAATATGTATTTTTAGGCACCTTTTGATGTGTTGCATTAGAAAACCTTCATGGAAGTTATCAAATTTGATCATTTTTCCGCTATCTTCAGGTGCTTTTTGGCTTTTATGAGTTAATGTGCTTCATGAAACACCTTTTAGTCGTAGTGGACAGAAACAAGTTGTTGTGGAGAAGCGGCATGTGTCTCCAGACAGATAAAGTTCAGTTAATTAAAGGTTAAAAACGGCCACATCCCACACTGGCCCCCTGTTTATTTAACATTTTGGCTCCTTCCCAGATGACAAATTGCTGTCCTTTCACAGACATGTTGATTGATTTTCACACCATCAAACTATTGTGCGGCTATCTCCAACTCTCAGCCCGCGGCGTATTGTTTCTCACCGATCCTTTTCCAAACCGTTTCTCATCTGCGGGCGCCCGAGGCTGGAAGGCCACCAGCGCCCGACTCCTCTATTACAGGATGATGAGATGGAGGGAGTGAAGCACAGCTGGGTCGCGCTGGGCTCAGACGAGTGGAATTATAAGAAAAGAAAAAAAGATCATGGTTTTGTTTCATAGACGGAGCGAGTGTGTTTCAGCTCAAACTGAGGTTTTACTGATGCAGGTGAGCAGACAGCTGCAGAAAAATCACCCAACTCTGCAGATCCTCACCAAGATTTATAGTTTCAGCTGCTTTTTTTTTTCTTAGCTGTCCAGTGCGTCAATCTTACTGATAGTGCTGCTTCTGGGATTACTACAAGTGTAAATAAGAAATATTTGCTAAGCGGTTCACCGTATCGGGGAAGATGCTGGTAGAAACTCCATCAATAGCGACAGGAAAGTTTAAAAACATTCACACCACCATGAAAGTGGAAGAAATGCAAAAGTTCTGTTGCGTGAACAAACTCCAATCGCGCTCCCGGCCTGGATCATACATGATGGAGCTCCTTCGCCCTCCGTCGCCATGGTTACCGTGCAGGTCGAACCTCAACCGGAAGCTTCAAACGTGCAGTGAAAGGCTCAGATTTTAGCCCAGCTGCGATACTTTTATTTTAAATGCTAACCCAGTAATTTTTATGAATAACCGTCAAGTGTCTAACAAAGAACAGTATTTTCACAAAGTTTCGTAGCCTAAACCTGATTGTACAATGGGTAAAAGTAATCGGAATCATCTCTCATCCATCACAAGACGCAAACTCACTCTGGCCTTCTGAGTAAAAGTCTGGTTAGTGCTGCCACCCACCTCTTTAAACTATGTTCCCTTAAAGTGTTACTGATCATTGAGTTGTGTAGGATAGACAAAGTTGCCTGGTGAGACAAGCTATGAGGTCTGTTGTCTCCTGGTTGCATCACTCTGTGCACCTCCAGCTTTATTCTTGCTTCTTTTATTTAACATGCACCAAGGTGAGATGATTCATTTATCCTTAATTATGTTCACCTACTAGAAACGTGGTTCTCCGACGTTGCAGCTTTCACCAAAATGCAGCAGAAACGGATACTTTTCAGCTTTAGGAGACCAAATTTATTGAGCGAATAAAAGCCACTGCTTCATTTGTGGCCTTCTGTTGTGTAAAGTTGCTAAAACAGTTTTCTTCTGAGTAGACAAAGATGTGAGGCAGGTGGATATTTTGTAGATTTACCAGGTGTTTGATGACAATTGTACAACATTTGATGAATTTAATTTCTATGTCTAAATGTATTTAAGCTACAGCGGTTAAATTCAATAGAAAAGAAAAAAATCCACTCATCTTTCTTAAAAATACAACATTAACAATCATCAATAATTATCAAAAATAACTGAAATTAAGTATTTTATTGTGCCAAAGTTTTCAGCCCAACCCTACACAGATCTGCAACAAATGAAAAAAGGCTTGCATAAAGACAGATCGATGCTTTATTAATCTCTGTGGAGAAGTTTAAAGGTTTCCAGTAGCTCGTACATGTTATATTTAAGAAAAACAAGGTGCAAAAGAAGGACCAAGAAAAAACAGATGGTGCTGGAAGAATAAAAACAACTGTTATCAAGTATAAATATAGTTTTGTTCTTGTTTTTTTTTTTTTAATTCCGCAAAAAATGGAACCAAAATGCTGCTTCAGTGCATGTTTGCATTGATCCTCCCAGTCTGTGGAACTCTACATTATAATGTTGCTTCGTTTTCCCTTCATTGGATGAAGCTATCTAACACATAGATCCCAAATCTGTCATGGCTGTGCTCTTGGGTTGAAATCTGGTGATTGTAAAGGCTCCAGCATCTCATTCATATCATTTCCAGACTTATTAAACCATTTCTCGACCCCTCGTGCCCCGCGGACGTCGGCACCGTCATCAGAATTGAAATGTTTCATCTCAGGATGAAGGCGATCGCTTGGAACAACTTTGTGTTGATCTGCGGCGACCCGTCTCTCCAAATAATCTGCAGTGTACCGGAAACCGCTTGATTCTCTCTTTTCTCTTTAATTTGTCACCCATCTGTACTTGTCTCCATTAGCTTCCATCTTTGGGTTGGGTAGATGATGCTTCCTCCTGATTAAAGGAACCCTGGCTTTCCGTCTCGTTGAGAGGAAATGCTGGCGAACCAGAAGAGCGGCATTCTTGTTCCCTAAGAGCCTGGATCCCTTTTTCCTCATTCCTCGCCGAGTCGAGGGCCCTCACAACCCGTACGGTTGGTTGACAGTCCTCTGCAGAAAAATGAAACTCAAAAGCAGAAGATGGGAGGACAGCGTCTCTGACAGCTCAGCCGGTACCCACACTCGGCTATTTCTGGATGGCAATTAACGGCGGAATAAATGCATACAGTAATGGCGTTGCGTCATTTTTGCCGGCTACTGTGAAGAAACTGCATTAGAGGGGAAATATCTTGCGTGGTGGGAGGTAAATACAGTCAAGGACGGATTCAGTCAGCACAAAAACACAAAACGGAGCTTGTGTAGTGTTTGTTTTATAATGGTTTGGACTTGTGAAGGTA